CACAGTTTAAGTGTTATTTTTGGTATCCCGAGTATGACATTGTTACGCTAAAAGTGTGTCATCATCGTCTTATTGGTGATCGTATTCTGGACGGTAATGGCACACTTTTACCGTGACTTTTTGATAGTTTTGCCGTTATTTTTTTTTACAGTGTGGCCAGCCAGCTTTCAACGAATGCTGAAGTTATCTGCTATTGGTAGCTGTTATTAGCAGATAACTTCTTTCACCGATAAAGTATACAATTAAACACACACAAGAAACTGTCGTCCTCACACGACAGTCAATCAGATTCTTTCTTTCAGCCTGTCGCAGACGAGCGACAGCTGTTTGTATTTTAGCGAAAAAAAATTTCGGGATTTATCGGGATTGTAATTATGCCTACGGGACGGGATCGGGATAGGGATTGGCGAAAAGAAATTTTTGGGATCGGAATCGGGACCGGGTTTCAGTCCTACGGGACGGGATCGGAACGAAAAAACTCAATCCCGCAGGGCTCTATTTTATACTCTGCAGTGAGAAAAATCGATGATTCGATATTTTCGTCTGAAGAGCAGGTGCTTCGGCATCTGAATTTCTCATTATCTAGAAATAAAAAAAAGGAAAGATCACTAATTGGTCAAGACATCATCTTGATCTTTCTTTTTCGTTAATATTTTGTTATATGAAAATATACAATTAACATTATTGATAAAATGACATACATCTGCGAAAGTAAGCTAATCTTGAATCTGATGTATATGATGATGTATATGATGATGGTGGCTAATCTTGAATGATGGTATATTCGGACTGCTTCCTTTTACGATCCATACACAACATATATCTACAAAAGAAAGAAAACGGCTGTAGAGACATATAAACATATAACCTTTATCTGCTATATACTCGACTGTATACTGAAAGTTTGCCTAGTATTCGAATATATCCATATCCGTTACGCATATTCACCGTCTACAAATGTACAACGAAGACCGGATGGTCTATCCGTCAGTCCTCGTAATCTTCGTTTCTGTTTTAATTTGTTTCGAATCCTTATTCTTATCAGATGACGTGTAGCTAATCCAATAAACCATTTTTTATATGATTTCTAAATGCACAATATATCTCACATTTTTCGTCTGTTGATCTTCGTAACAATACTCTCGATGAAATGTTGCAAGCGTGATTGCAGATTCGTAATAGTCATAGTGATAGACTAAGATTTTCAAGCATCTGCACACAAACTCTCATAGGTATGCGAAAGTCGAACGCGCCTTTCGACAGTACAAGAAAACAATTTAACTGACAAAAATCTCATGTTAATATTGATAGTGGACTGTTTTTCAAGTTACAATCGGCGTGAAAAGATAAGCTCAGAAGTCTGATAAGTTATCTCTGGATAGCTTCGGGTATTTCGAATATAATTGCCAGTAGTGTACAGCAGGATCTAATTTATTGCGGTCGGATTGACCGTTTATTTGTTTTACTCTACATAGCATAGGTTGCGCGCGTACAAAATAAAATCATGATATAAGACGAGAACAGAGCTTTCTCACCCCATGATTAATAATGGTGGAATGCCAATGCCGGCGAGGACATAGAAGACGACACCTGGATCTATATGAATGGTAGCATTGTAGATTTCATTGCACATGGCAGCAATTGCATAGTATCCAGCTGATTCGACTATACCAGCAAACACGAAGACAACAGCATATTCATCTGGTTCAACAAGCTTTGTTATTCGAGATCGAATTACACCACTTGTAACAAGATTCACTGCACCAATGCTGACAGCTTCAAAGAAAAAATAAATCAACTTTAGCTAATTGATGAATAATAAGTCTTTTGTTCTCTACACCTAGATATAAAAGCCATACTGATCGTGCGATACCAAATAACACTAATTGAATCATAAAGGTAATCAGGCCAGTTACGGGTATTAAAAAACTATCTGATTTATTTGTTAATGTGAAAATAATTGTAAATACAAAAACTAAAATTGCTTGTGCCGATGAATTTAGGCTCACTTCTAATGTGTGTAATTCACTTTTTACATAATCATTTAGTTGGTAACAAAAAAAAAGATTGTGAATTTCATCTTTCTTTGTGCATCATACACTCAGACTCACTCCATTATTCTCTACAATAATTTTCGAATATTTTATGATCCCCAACAAAATGGTTGTCCGTACAAATACAAATATACAATAGATGCATAACCACACAACATCACAATTACTGACAAATGTGTTAATACTGTGAGTAATAACATTTTACGATTATTTGATTTACGTTTGATTGTGAACACTTGTAAAACTTTAAATAGCGGTTTCAAACGTACCAATTTTATTTGTTGAAGAATATTTAAATGAGCTACTGTTTGATTGGATTCTGGTTGAAATAATAAAGAATATAGAAAACCCAATATACTTAAACCGAGAGCAACACAAAATGGAATTAAATAACCAAAGTATTTTAAATAATATCCAAGTCCAACTAAAGTGACAATACGTGCAAATGTAATACTGACTTCAGTAATAATAATTGCTGATGTTCGCTGTTTTAATGTAGTACAATCGGTAACAAAAGCAAATGTACTCAATATGGTTAGAGCTGATGTGCCAAACATACCGTCGAGTATAACAGAAATAATAATAAATATATCAGATAAATTCCATATGATTACTGACAACATAATAATATATCGTAATATTTTTCCAATAAAAGGAATAGTTATTAATGCTTTTCGGCCAATAATATCACAATTTGATCCAAGTATTATTGAACTAAATATAGCTGGAACTGTAACAGAAAGAGAAACTATAATATTTAATTTTGCTGTAGCTGATTGAATTTGATCCGATATTGGTGGAGAGATGGTCATTGGTGTATTTGTCGTTGTTAAATAGAGTGATGTTGAAATACCACTAGCATGACTAGCATTTAAACACATACTTCTTTGTGAAGATTTTGAAGTCGTATTTAAGTTATAAAATGTTGCATAACGAGTTTCAATTAAATCATTTAATAATAAAATATCAATCGTACTAACCATCATGATAGTAAAAAAAGCAGGTAATGCTCTCCACCAAATAGGTTTTGTATTACTTTTAGTCATTATTTGAATTTTGTCTTTTTAATAATCGCAAATTTCTGCAAAGTTTGAACGACCTATTTTATTTTCATTACCTTCTTTTGTTGCATGTTGGCCATGAATTATTAAATAACTCATATGTAGTATTTACATACTTAACAGGAAAAAAACATTTTATCTCTCGTGTTTCATCGAAAACAAAAACACCGTTGTAAGTTCGATGCTTATTGCGTATACTCAGCATTACAGTGCCTATATAAAATACTAATTATTATTTTTTTTCAGCTTTGTTTTGATTTAGACTTGCGTGTATTACTGACTTGATACATAGCTTGAAATCATTTTTTTATTTGTAATACATCATCGTCAGAGTTCGAGCACAACCTATTTTTTCTTCATTAAGTTCAAAATTAATTGAAATTTTTCGTTTGAGAGGCATCTTTTAAAACCTTTCTAGTTTTCGATATAAATGTTACATTCGATTAATTGTAATGTAGTTTTATAGAGAATTCTTTGTAGATATAATTCCATACAAAAAAGTTTAAGAACAATATCTCTAACCGTTTTTAATTACTAATTAGTTCTGGTTAGCACTAATGAATAGCATTCCAGTGGACAAAGTAAATTTTGCTACTGTCAGAACACATTGAAGCAAATCATGCGATATATCATTCGATACAACTTTTCAAGCTCTATCGATTGTCCGAGCTACTTTTTTTAATTTTACCTGTTTTCTTCAAAAAATCCGTTTTAAATCAGTTTTGTTGTCAAAAGACTGACCATTTCTCCGTAGAGCTTGCACTTATGAATATTTGCGAAGATGCCTTTATGGAAATCATTTTCACGTTAGAACGAAAGCTCTATGTAAAAACTTAGCGATGAGAAGGAAACAGCGAAAGCCTCCCTTCAGAAGGCCTTCACCAGTAGTTGCCGACTGAAATGCTTCAACATCACTCAAATTAGGAAACTATGATCGACCGTAGTCGACTACCATATAATTTCCATCCAATCAAGTTGAAATAATATTTTCAACTAATAGAATAAATTCTAGAGACCCCTCATGCTGATTTTCTGATTCTGCACAGTGGAATTCTCATTCTCCTCCACTATGGAAGTCTCATGGCTGCGTGCGTTTTCTTCAATGAGTAATAAAAGTCTTGCGGATAGGTAGACAGACATTTATAGTCGTATAACCCTTGCTTTCACTCAACGGAACTACTGTAGTCTTTTCATTTCTTGTATCCTAAAGACACTATTACCTATTACTTATTTTTGTCAGTTAAATTGTTTTCTTGTACTGTCGAAAGGCGCGTTCGACTTTCGCATACCTATGAGAGTTTGTGTGCAGATGGTTGAAAATCTTAGTCTATCATGATGACTGTTACGAATCTGCAATCACGCTTCCAACAACAAAAAATTAATTTAACTATCATTCGACATATTTAGCTGCGAACCTTGTACAATTGGCCATCCGGCTTGGTTCTGTGTACCGCCCATCAATAAGATAAGCTTAAAGTGCAAAATTAGATATACTTTTTGTTGTCGCATATATATTGAACAACATAATTACAAATCTATCTGATTACACGTGTGACTGCTGTCTAACATTTTCCCGTAACGTCTCAACTGAGATACATTTGATGAAATATGGACTTCGCGAGTTTTTTAACTGAGATACAATTTTGACACGTACAATTGTGCAAGAATGCAGTGTACAAAGCTCTATTATTCAATAGTTCTATGGTGAATGGTTTTTGAATTCTGATAAAGTTTTTTGAAGCGATCCGGTCTCTGGAAAACCCCTTGGGAAACTTTTACGACGAAAACGGCTATAAGCCGCATCTTGCATAAATCTATCTCTACAACCATAAGCTATATCTTGACAAAAAAGGGCATGATTTTCAGGTAATGATGAGCGTGTCATGGTATGTAATTTTATTTGACTTCCGATATAGTCGAAATCGGTAATAAATCAGCGATTTTACCGATTGCTAGTAATTAATCGACGACCTTTTAGCTTAACAGGCAACTGAGCTCCTCGGTTCAAAGTTGATTCAAATTGAAACAATGAGTCAGCTCTAAGGAAACTACAGGGATCACTCTTGGCAACTCCGTTTTAACCCGTTCATTCCCAATCTTTGTTTAAGTTAAATTTATTTATAAGTCGTGAACGACGCCGCAACATATTAACAAGCGCTTTTCAACATTCGATAGCCAATACTTTAAGCTATATTTGTATAAGCAAAAACTGGTTTCGGAAAAATTTCAAAGATCGGATTTTCAAAGAATCTCTGGAAAACCACTTTGTATCTTTCAAAACTAAAACGGTAACCTATCGATTTTTTTCATACGCAGATAGTCCAAAG